TTTAAAGTATGAGGAAAGGAGGGATGTGGAATTAATAACACACCCTCTGTCTGGGTGGCTGTCTTCCAGTGAGCTCATGGTGACTTCTACAACCTAAAATATCTGCTTACCAGAAGATACTTTCGGGAAGAAAGGACGATAAATGAACCTGAGGATTATATTATCACTCACAGTTTAAGTAGTCAATGAGCAAAATGAAGACCTAGGCTCAGGACTAGGGAAGTGACAACTTCCTCTTACCGTAGTCATGGGAACAGGGACAGGACAAGGCTGCCCTTCCGGAGGAATTCAGGTTTGGCTCAGCTAGAGATGGGAGGAATGCAGAACAGATGGATACGAAGTCCCAAGGCAAGCCCCTTTAGGACAGAAAGCCTGGACTGGTTCGTTACTCTCACCGTGCCACTGCCAGATTATAAAACAGAACCTAGGGAAAGACAAGCTTCAGGGTTACAAGGTCAGTACAGCCTTTCTTTCCATGTGACAGGATCAAGCCAGCATTTTCCTTCTGTCTGTCGCCCTCTTGGGAGCACTGCTGATTTCCAATCATTCCACCCATCACCAGGGCGTCTGCCTCCCAAGCCCCTTCCCCCTGGGCCTCAGCACCCCAGCCTGACTTTCAGTTTACTATGGGGCTCTCCTCACAGCCCTCGACTCTGTGCTCTGCTCACATTCCTGTCAGAACACACAGCTAATTATGTGGTATGTAGATACAATCTCATCATATTTTTCAAAGGCAGTCTTGTTATCTTTGATAAGTACTACCTCTCGGGTGGGAAGCTAATAAAAGTTAACTATACACACACACACACACACACACACACACACACACACACACAAAGCTCATGCTTAAAAATCTCGATTTGTAAATTAACAAAAGGGAACGAAATGATTCCTTTAACCTTTTGACCCGAAGAGGTCAAAAAGTGGCAGAAGCAGCCGAGTGAGTCATGCAGTCAAGTGTGTAAGGCCTGGCTGTCTTTGAAGGGCTGGCTCCAGGCTAGGAGTTACTCATGTTCTAAGATCATCTATGACTTGCTCCTTCAAAGGAGGTCACTGCACCATCGAGCAGAGTCCCTCAAATAGGTTCATTACCATCCTGCCCGAGTTACCAGACTAGCCAGGTATAACATCAGCACTGAAGACTTGCAGAATGGCAGTGGAACCTGTTTATATCTCGGGACACAGGCCAAGAACTCTAGAAAGAAAACCAGTTACAAGGGTTAAGGGAATATGGAAAACAAAACAAACAAACAAAAAAAACACTCCTACATGGCTAGTACATTAGAGGTGCTTTGCATGCTACAAAGCATGAGAAGGACTCTAGGTCATGGCTGGCCATGTTACAAGGGAAAAAGGAAAGACGATTCAGGTGACTACAGTCAGAAGTAAAAGCAGAAATTACAATCAGTAGCACAGAAACAAAAAGCATCGGAATGCCGTATCTTGGCAGAATGCCAATCCAGTGGATATCCTCAAAATGGCTCAGTTTCTTACAAGATGGAAGCACAGAGACGTAGAAAATCAAACAAAGCTTAAAGTGGTGAGATTTAATGATGGAGGAGATGAAGGCGATCGCAGTGGCGCCATAGCAGTAATGGTAACAAATCTTCCACTAGGAAACGCCCAGGTCTGAGTGGCCTCACTGGAGAAATCTACCTACTAGAATCATCTAAAACAAGAAAACTACCAACTAATATCTCAGCCGAACACTGATGGAAAAGTGTAGACAAAAAGCTTGCAAGCAGAGTTGAACAAATTAAAGCGATTGTATACCAGGAATGGTGCAGCCCGTGAAACTACATTAACAGAAGGAAGGGCATAAACCACATGATCATCTCAACAGATACAGAAAATGAAAAAGAAAATGGCAAAATACTTAATAAACTAGGAATAGAGGGAAACTAGCACAGTACTGTCCACAGCTAGCATCCTGCTCAAAGGAGAGAGACTGAAAGCTTTTTCTCTAAGGTCAGAAATAAGGCAAGATGTTTCAACCCTGTATTAGAAGTCCTCGCCAGTGAAATTAGGCAAGAGAAAGAAATTAGAATTTAAAAGAAGTAAAACTACCTGTTCACAGGTGAGATGATCTTTATACATAGGAAGATATCTCTCTCTCTTTCTCTCACACACACACATACACACACACAAATACACACACCAAACTCTAAGTCTCACAAAGCAATTCAGAAAAGTTGAAAGAAACTCAAACGAAAATCAGATGTGCTTCTACAAACTGACAATGAAAAAAATTCCCAAAGGATATTACTGACACAATTCCACTCAAAATTGCATAAAAAATAAATAAAATGTTTAGGAATGAATTAGATGCACTGAAATCTACACAGTGAAATCACAAAAGAAAGAAACTAAACAAGATATGCACAAGTAGAAAGACAGGCTACGGTTAAGACAGTCACAGCATGGAAAACTAATGACAACTCCAAGCAATCACTATCAACATCTCAACAAATTTTGGTCAGAAGTAGTTAATTCTTTCTTAAAATTCATATGGACTCCTAAGGGATCCAGAATAGTGAGAGCCATCTTGAAAAATATGAATCATGCTGAAGCTTTCATACTTTCTGATTTCAAAATATTATGAAACAGGAACAGTAGTTGACACAGTGTGGTTCTGGCATAAAAAACCAAGGGAATACACGAGACAGCCCAGAGATAAGCCCGCCATACATGGCCAGATGATCTGTGAGAGGGAGCCCAAGACCACTTAACCTGCTACCTCAGGAAGTTTCTGTACCATCAAAAACTCAATCAGGGGGTCTGGGAATTTAGCTCAGCAGTTCCACCACCTGCCTCCCAAGCACAAGGACCTGAGTTCAATCCCGGTACCAAAAAAAAAAAACTCAATCAGGGGACTGAAAAAGGAGACTTGCTGAATGGGCGTTTCTAAACCCTTCCTCTGATAAGGGCTTAGTATCCAGAATACATAAAGAGATCCTTTCATCCAATGGCACATTCACTAAATTAAAAAATGGGCGAAGAACTCGAATGGGCATTTCTCCAAAGAAGCCAGAGAGATGGCCAAAAAGTCCATGAAAAGATGTCTAAATCCATAATCCTTAAAACACAAATCAGACCACAATGAGACTTCATGCTGCTCTCAGAACAACAGAGCCTGTTAGAGACAGTGGAACACACCTGTAATCCTAGCGCTTTGGGGGCAGAGGCGGGAGAAGCCTGAGTGGGAGCAGCATGGGTGGCAGGGACCACAAAGGACTAATGAGAAGCTGGACCAAGTAGAACCACTGTGCACCGCTACAGTGTAAAATGATGCAGGAGCGCAAGGAGCTGGGGCAGGGAGGGTTTGTCCAGAGCACATAATTTCAGGCTTTCAAGACAAAAAAGTTTTGGAGACCTGGTGCATTATCCACACTAAGGAACTCTTGTATACTTCAGACAGTTGGTAAGTGCCCTCTGTTCTCATCTTAGTAAGCCACGATCAAGAATATGTTCAGTGCATGGCTGTGTTTCCAGCACAACTTACCATGGCAGCTTTGCCGTGCAAATACGCAGAAAGACAAAGAGAAGAGGACTGTGTGCCACATGCTGGTACTACTCCCTGAGCCTGCCATGCAGATGCCCTCTGCAGCAGACAGAGGGAGAATAAGCACACAGGCGTGTGTGTGTGTGTGTGTGTGTGTGTGTGTGTGTGTGTTTAATTCAAAGTCAGCCCATGTGAGTTCTATGTGACACAGGCTCTGCCGTTAGCAAGGCCCCTGCAGGAATATTCTCTAATTCCCCATTTTCCTGGCACGTTTGGCGGTAGCTGCATCTATACATATTTCTAACTATTAACGTATGTTTCAAATTGTGCGTGCATACTATTGACACAATTCTAAATCCCAAACTGCTGTTGGAAGCAACGCTCTGTCTCTCCGGGCTCAAGAAATTCTGAAGGCAGACACAGCATTCATATTATCAGCCTAGAGGACTCTTTGACAGTCCATTTGGAGCGCTGTCTGACCTGAAACGCAGGACATCCTGTCTTCTACGCTTTTAGCAAGAAACCCACTTTCTACTCAAAGCAAAGTTAATAAACCCATAGGGTCAGAGTCACTACTCCAAGGGGACACTGGTGGTACAGGGGCCAAAACAGGCCAGGGATGGGGCTGCAGGTATAGCTCAGTGGTACAATTATTGCCCACCCCATACGTGAGACTCTGGGTTTACTCTTCATCTCCTATAGATGATAGATGGGATGGATGGATGGAGGGACAGAAAGATAGAAGGACAGACAGAAACAAGTAAGCAAGTGAGCTACATGATGTAGAAGCACATTAAAAAAAAATTAGCAGACAGAGATATAGCTTGCTGGCTTGATATGTGCTTGCCTACCTCACAAGCAGAAGGTTCTGAGTTGGATCCACGGTACAAAAAATAAATAAATAAATAAATAAATAAATAAATAAATAAATAAATAAATAAATAAATAAAAAAAATAGGGCTTTAATAACGTTTTTAAAAATTAAACTCCTATGGGCAGATCTGGCTGTTTATCAATTTATCAAAGTTTGAATAATGGCTGAAGTTTTAATCCCGTTCTCTGATTTTGAAAAGAAAGAGGGGAAGCCACTTACTAGAGTGAACTCTGAAGCAATACTGACACAAACACAATCTTTTTACAGGTTAACAAAGGGCTGGGTGTGGCCAAGCAGTAGCGCACTGGCCTGCCCAGTGTTGGACTTGATCCTTTGTACTACAAGACAGAAAACTAGACTAAATAAAACTAGTCTTTTCTGTGCCCCAGACATGGGTGAAACTGATGCATATTCTTTTACACACCCCTCAAAGGATGACTGAATTGTCATCTGCAAGCATCAGTGGAAATCTCTAGGGTACGGTCCTGAGACTTAGCAAGACAAGACCAGATAAACCAAGCACTCTAGACCTCAGGAGATTTCCAAGGCTGCTAAGGCTCACACTCAGAACGGGACAGACAGGGAGGGGAGTGGGGGAGGAGGAGCCAGCGGCTGGGGACATACCTGGCATAAGCTCAGCGGTGGGGAACAGCTCCTGTAGCTTCCTCTGGCTCTCCTCCACCAGCTCCTCTTTGGACATGGGGAGCTGCAGGACGTCTATCACAATCTGAGCGGCTTCTAACGCCTTTTTACCCATCACCAGCGACTTCAAATCCCAGCTGTATGTCTTCCCATAGCGACTGCATATTTCTTGAAACACCACTGAGTACATCCGTTCGGTATCTGCAGAGATGAACAAGGAGAGCAAGAGGGACAGAAAATTTAAGTCCAGACCTACTTACATCAAGTCTGTGTTAGATCGGCATAAACACCGTGCAAGGCTTGTGTCATGAAAGTGGGTTTCAGGGCGACCTGAGCAGCAAGAGGATGTGTCTCAAGGCCCTGCCTGCTAAAAGGTGCCCGGGCCACTCCTCGCATTGGCTGCACTTCAAGCCTTTGGAGTTGTGACCTAGAAACACAGACGTCAGGAGAATAATGAGCTCCAGATTCTTTTTTTCTGTTCAGGTGAACATAGCACCAGATAGCCGACTCCATCCCCGGGCACAGGACGGTATTCGCAGTGGTATTCACAGACTTGCTGAACACAACGCCATCCCGGGTCTGGGGTGGCACCCGCATGATGTCTCCCAGCTGGGGGTTCGGGGCTGTGATGGGGCATTCACATCCATGTGACGCCCACGGTCAGCCTTTCCTGTGTGGCTGAGCAACCGTGCATCAGTGTTGGAAAACAAACTGCACTGAACACACACAGACACTTTCCTGTGTCGTCTCTCCAGAGCCGGCAGTTTCACGACTATATGCATGGGATTTAGATCAGTGGGTTCTGCCACCTGCCACGCAAGAGCAAGGTCCCGAGTTCGACACCGGGTACCAAAAAATACTGCACTGGGTATCAGAGGACACGGTTTAAGGCATACGGGAGGATGGGCCTATGTAGCTTCTATGCAAAACCCATGCAGAATGAACTTGGCATTTCCAGAGTGTGGGTATCCACAGGATCCCTGGAAGTAGCCCTGGTGGATACCAAGGGATAAACTCCATTCTTATGGGCACTTACACCTGTGCCTGCTTTTTCTGTGTTTATATTTCCTATGCAACACTGGCACAGATATGACCAATTATGGAATGACAGTTTTGTACAGTACTACAATGAGCACTCTGCACCTAAGTGAGGTCAGAATAGCACTGAGTAGATGCTTCTCACTGGGGAGACCGTAACAGTGACTCTTGGAACAGCACTGGACAGGGAGGGCACGCCCGAGAGGCACTAGCTGTCCTACGCCGTCAGCACGGGCCTAGGTCAGCTCACCCGAGAACCGCCCGAGTGGCTAGCATGGAGCAGAAGGAGTGTTCACCAATACAGCAACTTCACGGCAGGGTAGCAGCTCAGGCTGACGGTGGGCTCAAGGGCTCGATGCAGGCACAGAGGTTCTGTCAGGAAGCTTCCCGTCAGGGCCCTTCCTGACACTGCTTTCCTGTGGCCCTGACACAGACACTCCATGGGACCAGGAAGATGAGATGGGGGTGGTCACACACAGTCGGACAAACACACAAGGTCTGACGCATTCAGACTCATTCGCAGCTTTAGCAGTAAACCTTTCACTTGGGTCCTCCACCACTTAGGGGATGGATTCTGGCTCTGCACAGCTGGTCCCAAGAGTTCTTGGAAGAACTGAGTGGGTCCAATGGCTTCTAGCTGCACTTTCCAAGATGGTACCGGGAAATGCAATAAATGCAGTCTGCATCCTGTCTTCTTCCCGTCCTCGGAGGTACATGCTGACAAAGAAAATGTGGACAGAGAGAGAAAGCACTGTGTGCACACGAGGCATAGAGAGTCTGTATTTACGGAAAGCCATGTACTGGATAGTTATTTATCGATATTCTATAAAGGTGATATCCATAATCACATCACCTCATAGTTAATTCCGGAAGGTGGAGCTGTATGAAAGTGGACCGTGCTTTGTGTATACACATATAAATGTGCACATATGAACATTTATATTGTTATGGCTTGGGTCTGGATGTCCCCCCAAAGCCTCATTCCGTCAGAGGCAGCTGAATCTGGAGTGTGTGATCCTGGGGTTAAGGGCATGTGATCACTAAACTACGACAGAGTGATTTAGCACCACCCTAATCCTGGGTGTTTGGATGGCATAAAAGAGGCAGAAAGATGCGATGCAGTCTCTCTACCATGTTGCCGTGGCTATGGTGTGGGCACCATGACCTGCCTCTTGCTGCCTTTGCTACCTGGTGCGCGCCATGTTGTTTCTCCTCTGCGATGTCCGTTTGCCATCCCTGTCTTGGAGCCAGCCATCTACAGACCAAAACCTCCACAAACCCTAAGCCAAATACACCCCTTCCCTTTCAAGTTTGGGTGTCAGGTATTTTGTCTCAGCAATGAGAGAAAAGTAACACACGTATGCATATGCATCTATGTGCACATAAGCTTGTGCACTTATGCACGTATGTGAAACTATAGTGTACTCCTATGCACTATAAGCACACAAACTCTGACGCTTATCTACAAGTCCCTGGCTCCATTGTGGAAGTTGTCAGAGTGTGAACAGTTAATGACGGAGACAGTGACAGCAAGTGGGAACCCCAAGACATCGGCCCTCCCCAGATGCTCTCCCTTATGGCCGTGGCTACACCAGGTGCAGGCACCAAACTTCCACCTGCAATTTTTCCTTCGCATCTTATTTGTAGAACAGGTAAGGGTACAGCAGGGAGTAATTACTTTGTCCTGCTCACCATTTTTTTTCTGGCAACTTCCTGAATGAATCCAGATGCAGGTAGTTTTGGCAAACAACTCTTCTTTCCGGCCCTGTATCCCCTACTATCCGTGTGTCTGCTGGGTGAACAAGAGCGCTCTGTTCTGGACCCTGTTGCGCTGTACCCCAAGTAGAAGGGCCACAGCCTCTGACAGGATGCTCTCTTCGTGCCCCCGGAGGACAGGGACCCCATGCAGGATTCCCTCCTGGTCCCAGGGCTCACTGCACTGCTTTTTGGGATGCTCAGTTCTCCCCCAGGGAATGGAGCGGGGAACAGGCCTTGGCCCTTGTGGTCCCAGGCCCAGCAAACCCGGCCGTTCTAGGCACAGCAATTGTATGGTTCCTCAGTTCTAGCAACGTAAAGACCTCTCTTTCCTCCTTTTCTGTGCTTTTTGTGGCAAAGTGCCCGCAGCCGCGTTGTCAGGTGCAATTTCGTCTTCAGCACTCCGGCGGTCTTCTCCCGGCTATTCTACCACAGGCTGTATTTTACCGCAATACGGGAAGTGGCACAAAGTAAACCTCAGATGCACCACCCTTCTGGATCTTTGAAATCGCTAAGGCAGGATAGGCAGGCTGGAGAAATCAATGACCTTTTATGGAGTACAAAAGACAGCAAGCAGGACTTGAAGATGAGGCCTCCTTGCTATACAGATCATAACCCCAGTAGCGGCAGGTTTTCAGGGCCCACCCTGCACTTTGTTTCTCTAAAGAACTTATGAGGACTCCTCTTCTGTCTCCCGCAGCAGCGGAGGGCTGAAAGGGCAGGCCTGCAGGGAAGATCACCCACTAATGAGTGCTGCTTTCAGCTACTTCTTCCCAAGAGGCAGGAAAAGGAGCAAGGGCTCTCAGGGTAAGGAAATGGGCAGACCGGCAGCGAGGCGGAACATTTCACTTTCCTCTAGCAGGTTGAGACAGGAGTGAGAGAGAAAAGCACAGCAAAAGACTGGAGCCAGGTGAGAAGGAGCAGGTGGGACCCAGGGCTGCTGTTAATGAAAGCGTCAGGGGAGGAAGAAAGGAGCGTGAAGAAACCCAAATTCCAAAGACACAAAAATAGCTGCATCCTCTAAGATGATTTAAACAGTGTTTATTTAAAGCTTATACTGCCATAGAGCTTTTAATTTAAAACATACAGTGCTGGAAGATTATAAATCTGCAGGGGACTGTGACGACAGCCACTTTTCTTCACAATTTAGATAAAATCACCCTAAATCCTTCGTAGAATAAGGAAGGATCTAAACAAGGAATTAAATTCCTCCGATCAAATGATATGATGCCGCTGATGACAGCATACTGAAAATTGAAGGCAGCACGTTTCCAAAGGGGGAAACAAGATAAAATACCAGAGCACAAAACTGCTGTGCCAATCTATCCAATGCACATTCCCTCCTGCCTGCCAAGCTTAAAGCCTTTATCAACGGGCTTTCGTTGGTTCCCACCGAAAACTCCGCTTTGTTTTTAACATGGTACAGCCAGAGAAAACGCCACGTTCCTTAGGCGATTTGAAAAAGCTGTGTGAAGGTGGACCTCCATCTTGGGTCGGGCATGCAGGGCACAGGTGGGCACCTGCAGGGACCAGGTAAACAGTGGAGGGGAGAGCCAGATGGGAAGGTGGGCAAACAGCGCCCTGGCCAGGCGCCAAGAGAGGGTGAGCTCGTTCCGCAGGAGGAGCAGGTGTGCCTGCAGGTGCACAGATACACAGCCTCCCCCAGGAGAGGGGTCTGTGTTGGAGGCTGCCCCGCCCCTGAGGAAGCTGTGCCACTGCGACATACTTAGCAGCGTGTTCTACAGATAATCCGTGGGTGCTGTCCAGGTGGACTCGACCGACCGCAGACTGGGAAAGAGAAGCTACCTGTGTATGTACAGACTTCCCTCCCCATTATTCCCCGCACCCACATAGCACTTGCATTCTGTTAGGCACTGTAAGTTATCTAGATGATTTCAAGCACGCTGCAGGAAGCTGTGCGCCCGTTAGTACTCTGCGCATTCACTCAGGAGAATCGTGCATCCCTGGACTGGGGTCTCCACAGGGAACCCTGAACCAGGGAAGGGAAGGAGGACCATCAGTGCCAAGGTTCCTAAAGGCTTGCTCCAGTTACGCTGATAACAAGCCCAACAGCAGATGCAGTGTGTTCTAACAGATCCGATGGTGACGATTATCTTAGTGAGCACAGAGTAGGTGGATCAGTAAGTGTGGAACAGGGTTAAAACGGAAAACCAGCTCTGCTCACTCTAGATGGTCTGAACTCCCTATTTCTCAAAGTGTGGTCCGGGAACCAGCCACTCGCATCCCTGAGAAGGGAAGGGAAGCAAAAGTCTTAGCCTGGCCTGGGCTGGCCCCCGGGATGTGTGTTCTGTGCAGCCCTTGAGGAGACCTGGAGGTGCACACAAGAGGAAATGCACGGAACAGGGGTATATCTCTCCTGCGGGCCCAGCGATTTCATACATGGATCAAACCTAAGATTAATGCACAGATTCATCAGTAGAAATAAAAACGAACGAGATGACACTCATCCCAAGTTTCACACTTTCCTTTACACTGCATCCCACTGTGAGACACATACATATTCCCATCTTCTTCCTTCGACCCCGAATCAAATTTATGTTAATGTATTTGTTGTGAAAGCAAGATTTCTTAAATAAGGAGCTTGAAGATGTCCCTTCCTTTCTAAAGTTAATTGCACTGAATGCTTCCAATTAATTGGAGTTCTCAGTTAATCAAGATTAATTAATACTGCATCAAATGAGATATGAATCACAGTAACTATCACACACACACACACACACACACACACACACACAGCCAAAGGGACACCACCTTTTAGAAAGACATCCGGTAAACTGGTTTCCGTTTAAGAAATACAACTTGGAATAAACACAGTAACACCTTAACAGAACATACTATTGCTTACTGCTCCATTTCAATAGAAATCAAGGGGCGGGGGGCAACCTTTCCTTAATATTGGGAGCACTACACATGAAATAGTTATCTCAGTGGCCCTGTTTTGAGAAGAGCCACTGAACACTTCACGTATTTGCCATGTATGCATGGTCTGGAACGGAGTCTTCTTTCTCTTCCCCCTTCATAAAAGGTTCTATTGGAAAATGAAGGCCCATTTCCAAAGAGAGACCATTTGCTGTGTAACACAGCCAGGATGACAACCGAGGCTTGGATTACAGGAAATGAGAACCTAGGCCTTGACAGGAGAAAGGTTTGTGTTTCTTGATATGGCTAGATCTTTATCTGAGTTTGCCTGGGGCTTTGCTTGACCTTCCTGCACAGTCGAGGTTACTTCCTAATTCTCACAACCCCAGAGGAAGCGAGGGTTTTGGAAGGGCACCAAGGGCCACAGCCATTAAGTACCATCCCTTGTGCTGCAGCACAAAGCTCTGGGCCTGGATCTGCCTGCACATCAAACAGTGAGCTGTGCAGGGCAAGCTCAGAGCAGGGGAGTCTTACAGGGATGAAAGGTAGGATCCAGTGGCACCCTGATTCCAGGCTGCTGGTCTCGGGGAGTTGGAGAGAAGTGGCTGACGGGAAGTAGGGCATGCCATAAGATGGGCTTGGGGAATGGATGGCACTGCCTCTCACAGGCCAGAAAATGGGATGGGTGGTGGGGCGGACCTTGTCCTGACCGGTGTGGAAGGCGGGGCTTACTCAGGAAGGGCGGTGCTCAGACCCTTGGCTTACAGGAAGACCCAGCAATGGGGACAAGTGCCGAAGGGCGGAGCTGCTTTCCCGGAGAAGGAGATGTCCAAACAGTTTAGAGAACTGGCCTTCCCAGGGGGACTTGGATGCCCACAGATTTGGGTGGCCTCTTGCGCTTCATAGTAAGGGGGCCTGCCATCTGGAGTCATTCACGCAGTCTGTAATTTCGGATCCTGATGGGTTGCTAAAGGGATGATATAAAGTAGAATACAAACCAACTAAAATTTGAACATGCAGCCCAAATGACTGACCACTCATTTTGCCCTCTGGGGCATGGATTTATAAAGTTGGGAATGTC